CTCGACCTCTAGCAATAGGGGGAGCAGCTCCTCCATGGTTTAGAACATCCGTTATGCGCGTTCTCACCATTTGTGAGAGAATAAGAGAAAGATACTTAGTACCACATCAACTGCACGATAGGAAATAAAGAGAGAGTAGTTTCCTAACACCCTATAGCCTCTCGAAGTTAAGTACGGACGTCTCTGCACCGATCCGCAAGCCTCTATTAGGCCTGCTCATAACTTGTGAGACCTACGTGAACCTAATGCTCTGATACCATGTTTTCACGACTCAATTTCTCCTATAGGCCGTGATGGCACCCAACGTCGCCGCTAGGCAAGCCCACGATGAATTTACTATGTGATTACTTCTTTTAATGGGCTTACAAGTACTTAAATTCTATTTATTTAAAATTTTGAGAAATAGAGAGTCAAATGAATAAAATGAAAGCTTTTGAATGCAAGCATAAATATGCAAATGCTCCAAAACCATAAAGTCTACTAAAGTGTGTGCCAAAATCTGGTGTCACAAGTGTATGAGCACTAGTAGAATATACAAAACTCTAACTACTGTCTGAAATAACATAAACAGAAAAATAAGTACAAAAGAAAGGCTCTAGGTGTTGCAGATCGATTCAGGATGCAGCTTACCACTAGAGGTAAATAATCACTAAATAACAAGCAGGAAGTAAATAATTCTTTCACACATGGTAAGTCCCAATTTAATTTCATCAAGTATACTTTTAACCTCTCAAGCCATGAAATGATATCAAATATATAATTAAACTCTGAGTATTAACACGTATGATTATGCCGAGGTCATACGGCCCGATCCAGAATAATGTGTACACTACCGAGGGTCGAGCGACACAAACCATAGATACATCTATCTAGTGCCGAGGCGTTCGACCCGCTCCACAAGAAGAGAGGATACTTTATAAGCATTTGACTTAAACGTTATTAAAGGCTAATACACAATGTAATACAAATTCCATTAACGGTCTTTCACAATTCCTCTGACAAGTTCTAATATAGTGTAGGCACTTTAATTTAACAAGTAGGGTGCAAACATTTCAAATAATTCATGATTTGGGTCCTAAACTATCTGGACATAAGCATAAATAGTAGCTGCGCACGGGCTCTCGTCACCTTATACGTACGTAGCCCCCCATAATTAGAAGCAAACATTAATTTAAATCACCTATGGGGTAAATTCCCTCTTACAAGGTTAGATAAGAGACTTACCTCGTCTCAAAGCTCACTTTCTGGCCTCAAATTCACTCTAAAGCCTCAACTCGGTGCCGAACAATCTGAAACTAGTCAAATATTGTATAAATAAATCAATATATGTTCAAAAGTTCATATTCTAACTATTAGAGTGATTACCCAACTCCAATTGAAGGATTCCTAAAATTCATCCCCGGGCCCACGTACCCGGATTTCGAAAATTTTCGAAGAAAGTTGTTACCCATAAACTCACGAACTCAAATATATAATTTTCACTCAATCCCATAATCATTTTCGTGGTTAAACCCCATTTTTATCAAAACCTAGGTTTTTCATCTAAACCCATAATTTTCACAAATTCACATGTTAAAATCTACCTATTGTCACGTCCCAACCTCGGAAAGCGTGACCGGCATTCAATCGAGTGAACCCGACCGAGCAAGCCTGTTAGATACTTTCTACCCAATTAATCCATGATCAAGAAAAGACGTGATTTCATTAATTAGACAGAAGGAAGTTCATACATACAACATTAAACCGTTTCATTAGCTATTTCGCTTTTAAGTCTCAAAATACACATATTCTTATAGTCTGAGTGGAACAAGTGATCAAATACAACATATACTTGTTTAACATTTCCAACACCCATATATAATCCACATAGTATCTACGAAGCCTCTAAATATACAAAAAGAATAAAGATGGTGCCGGCAACAAGACCCCGGCTATACCTCAAAAGTGACCACAACATAAATAGAAGGTACAATATATGACCCCAAAATAAAATGGGACTTACCGAGTCTGCTGAGATGAGGATGCAGCACTATCTGTGATCAACACTGTCTGCTACGTAACCACCTGCATCCATTTAAAGATGCAGCGCCCCCAGCAAAAGGGGCATTAGTACCGTCGAATAGCACTAGTATGTAAAGCTAAATACCAATTCAATAGAATGAATAATAATACAAGAGGAACAGTCAAGAATTCAATAAGGGCTTCAAATAATATAGAAGCAACAATGTTAAGGATCATATACATTTTCAAGTCAATTTTCGTATTATTAGGTTAGGTGACCTTTAGTACCGATATTCCACAATTCACAATACCTCTGTATTCTTACACGGAGTCTGATCTCGACCCGATCAGCTAGGTCATCTCATTTGAGACATTACCACAATTTCATTATGATTTCCAGCACTGTACCACCATGTGTGCGGCATGGCGTCCGATCACGGCCCGATCGGCTAGGTAATCTCATTTGAGACATCAACCATTTTCATAATTTCATCCACAATACCACCGTATTCTTACACGGAGTCCGATCTTGGCCCGATCAGCTAGGCCATCTCATTTGAGACATTACCTTTTTCAGTCAATCATCTCACATCGTACATCTTTCATATACTTTCAATTCATTGGCACTAGTGATTACGATTACATAGTCATTCTTGGCACTTGACCGTATTTCATAGTTCCGGTCCCCTTTTTCCACATTCAAATATCATCATCATTATCCACAACAATAAGGCTTCCCATTCAAGACATTAGATTCACATATGAGTAATTTGGGAGTCTTAGGCACATAGGGGCTTTTCATACAATTTGGCATAAAAACCTTTATTTCGATCTTGACATGAAGTTTTAACATTTCTAACACATATTTCACATTTTTGAATACATCCTCAAATAACAAGGTAACATGATAAAGCAATTAGAATAAATATTGGACTTACATCCTTCAACACAAACACATTAGAAATCGTCAATTCTATAATGATCAAGGGCTTACTCCAATTACATGAACACCGTGGGGTTCGATTCTAAGAAGAAGGAGGTTTAGCCAAAATCCCTCAATTGAGCTTCTCAAACTCTAAAATGATCCGGAATTCTTAGCAACTTCAATATATTTTAGAAATATAACAAGTTGGACCAAAATTAGGAAGATGGTCATGATTCTAGCTCATTTGAGCATATTATCAAACACTAGGTGTGCATCAATATTTTAATGCCCTTTTTTTGTAGAAAATTCCATCATTCCCCAACCCATTCTCTATCATCTTAGCTCATAATCTTCCCACATACTTCAAGGATACATGCAAGGTAAGCACTCCCACCCCATAAATTATCTTACTAATGGCCCATTCTAGTTACATTATGGAATTAAGAGTTTGGGTGATAGAATCTTACCTCTTAGGAAGAAGACCTAGGTGCCTCTCTTGAAAATCTTCAAGGTTTAAGTGAGAATTGAAGAGCAATTGATGAAGATCACTTCTCCTCTAGGACCATCTCTCTTACTCTAAAAATATCAGAAAATATGCTCAAAATGGTCTATGGGGTGTGTTTTAACGGAATAGGGTCGGGTTTAAAAATTTCAAAATTGAAGCTCCGAAACAGGTTCTGCGGTCGCATATGCGACCGCATAGTAGTTATGCGGTCCGCGAAATGACCACGAAAATGGGTGCCAGAGCTGGAAAGAAACTGACCTGGTCTGCGGTCACTATGCAGCCCGCAGACCTATTCTACGGTCGCATAATGCACCGCATAACGGTTCTGCGGTCGCATAGTGCACCGCAGAACCTTCCTCCGAAAAATCCCAAGGCAGGATATGCGACAAGAATGCAGCCCACGAAACGGTTATGCGGTCGCATAATGGCCGCGAAATTGGGCATCAAAAATGTCCCAGAAATCTGCCCCACTCTGCGACCAGTCTGCGGTCCATAGAGTGGTTCTGCGGCCGCAGAAATGCGTACTTCTGCCCAATATTTTCCTCTACGCCTACTTTGGCATCGCGGAATCCGGGTTGTTAGGAAAATTTTTTACGGGGCCTTACACCCATAATCTATGTATTTAACTTACATTAGATAGAATTTACTTACCTCCAAGTTGCTAGGTGAATACCCCTCTCAAGAAGCTCCAAAATCGCCCAAAAGTGAGAGAAATGAGTTAGAAATAGCTTAAGTCCCGTAATAAATGAAGCTCACTGCCTCCACGACTTCCGCATCTGCGTAAGGTTCATCGCAGATGCGATCCTCCCTTGGTTGGCCTAAGTCTGCATCTGCGGAATGGGGGTCGTTTTTGCGAGGCCGCTCCTACGGCAGATGAGCCGCACCTGCGCAAGTCTCGCTTCTGCGGTTGCACATCTGCGGTCACTTTGTCCGCATCTGCAATTTCTGGCTGCCCCATGCTGGGTCATTTCTGTGGCTGTTGGCTCGCTTCTGCGAGCTCGCACCTACGATTGGCCCTCCGCAGGTGCGGTTACACCAGAAGCTAGGTGCTTCAGCTCTTCACCCATGGCTAAGTGACCCCGCGCACCCATGACTACGTTTAATGAGATATGAGAGAGGGCCAAAATACTTTATTTTCTTATGTCTTGCAAACAAGATCGCATCTTACATAGCAAACACGCTAATTAAAATCAATTTATCAATATTAGAATCTAGATGATTAATACTAATTATTCAACAAATTTGATTAGTTGATACAAGTTAATTTTCTATTACGGCAAATTATTAAAATAATAGATTTTTGTGTAATTTAATTCATATATTATTAATACCATAATCAAACACTTGCGTCAATTGTGCAATAGTTATTTTTTTCTTATACGGTAAACTAAATATTATATTACTTAATGTAAGATTTTATGATGGATTAATTATTCAAACCATCAACCAAACTATACTCGGTACCTATAATCTATATTAGCTAATTGTGCATTATGTGCAAAGTATCTAGTAAAATAAAAATAGAGTAGTATTATTATTATAATAAACAAAAGAAGAAAATTTAATGAAATAGTCCGTTAGCGAAGGACATATCCAAGACCCCCGAGCGAGTTCATCTTTCGTTTCGCTGACCGCCCCTCTCAAGCCAAATCCCAGCATCAAGATTCGAACTTCATTTCTCTGAATATCAAGAAAACGTAACTTTAATTTCTGCAATTTTTACCACCCAAATATTGCTGATGAAATTCCCGTAAACGAAATGACAATTGCTGCGATTTTCCCAAATCGCCTTTCACTCATTCTGGTTCTTCTTCCACTAATCTTCACCACCATCTTCCGTTCGGCCAATGCAACATGCCAGCTCAGTTTTGAACAGAATAATAAGCTCTATAATTACAGCTTAACAGCCCCAATTCGTAATTTCCCTCATGGCATCCTCAGTGAAGATGGGTACTCTCTCTCTCTCTCTCTCGCTACTAATTGCTCCCTTGCTATTTTTCAATAACTCACGCCTTTTCTGTTACTGCGAGTTTAGTTCACGTGGCCTATTTCATCAATTTTAGTTGGGAAGCTATATATTGAAACATGGGAATAATAGTTCAGTAATTTGATAAATATGAGAAATAATAATTGTTGGATCCTAGATTGATACTTTCATCTTATAATATAATGTAGAAGTGGGAGGAGAACCATGAGATCTCATATTCAAATCTCAGCGGAGGCAAACAAAAAACTAGCTGATTTGTTCTCGTATGTTCTAAGCCTTGGTGGTAGAATTACGAGCTGGTAAGAGGTAGCGGTACTCGGTGGAATAGTCGAGTTGCGCGCAAGCTAGCCTAGACACCATCGTCATAAAAAGAGAAACAAGAAACACAAATATGTGGGGGAACTTTTATTCTTGTATATGTGATTGTCCATAGCTAAGGACAAACACAATTTGAGATTGAGGCTTAGTTGGTTTTATAATTACATTAGGTTTAGGGTTCATCAAGAGTGTCTTAGTTTAGTTAGAGACTTGTATGTCTGTTTAACAGTTTAAGGATAAGTGTGTGATTTCGCAAGCTCTAGTTCCAAAGAACTTTTACTTTTACTTAAACGACAAATTGTTAGTGATGAAATGTACGAAGATATGACCGTTGGACCTAACTCAACCCCAAAAGTTAGCTCATGAGGGGAAGACTGTCCAAGACCATATAAGGATACCATAACCCATTCCCTCAATCAGCCCAAGACTGGAACTTGAAATTGAAACGTGGATAACATAACATGGGGGCTAATAATACGAAACACAACAACAGAGATCGACGGGCCTAGTTCTGGTACCATGTGAAGATATGACCTTTGAGCCTAACTCAACCCCAAAAGCTAGCTAATGAGGGGAGGATTTCCCAAGACAATATAAGGGGACCACAACCTATTCCCTCAACCAATATGAGACTCGGCAAAATGAAATGGACTTATATAGAGTAGCATAGATACTGAGCCTAAAGAAAATTCTTCTTTTGTTAGTTTATTGAGGGGTGGCATATTTACTAAAGTACTCTACTCGTACATAATTTCAGGTTCTACAAGGTGGCTGTTAATGGGACTGTGCTATGGTTTCAGGTTGGCTGCATCAGGTTACACTGTCATGCTTAGTTTGGTTTTTCATTGTATATTGACTTTTGGAGACTTGCTCATTCTCTATTTAATTATGTAGCATGCACTTAAGTATTTTATAACCTCCCTTTGCCAGAAAGAAAAAAAAGGAAGTATCTTATAAGCTCCTGATTGTCCGAGGTGTATGGACAAGAAGTATGATGTGTAGCTGCTATTAAGTCTGTGAATGAGCCATTATGGCTGTGTATTTAGGAAGCATAACGCAGTTGAGCTATGAAATCGTTAATAAACATGGAAGTTACATCTTGTGATGAGAAAAAAATTATTAGCTTCTGGATGTTATAACTTGTTTATATGGGGAACAGCTAGTACTTCACCGAATCTCACTTTGCTTCCTCTTTGTATATGGAACAGCTTTGTGATGCAATGATTTTCAACCATGATCCTCCTACCTGTATTGACTGTAGGGTAAGTGCTTGTCAAACTACATCTGTGTTTCTTTGCCAATTGTTTAATGCAATAACGAGACAAAGTTGTTCTCTATTTTACCCTATGGAATGTAAACCTGTGCAACAGAAAATTAGTCTGCAAAACTGCTACCCTAGTAGCTGCCAAATAAAGAACTAATGTGGGGCTACAGATATGTAAACTAGGCTAGTTTCTGCAAACTATGAAATAAGATATAGATTCGCTTATTCGTTTTCCAAAATTTCTACTGATTGTTAGATCTTTGCTAAGAATAACACCATATAAGTTCATTTTCTGGTAATCATTTGAAAATTAGAACTCTGCTGATTATCATAATATCATAGATTGCATATTGGCTATTTAATGAATATTTTGGATTTTCCACTGGAGATATATAAATTCATTTGTGGGTGTCTATGGGACGAAGTTTAGAGCACTATCAACTATGCTATGGTACATTTTATGTTCAGCTCAAACTTATTGACCATTATAAAGTAACCACGATCTACATAAATGAAGTTTGTTTATTTATTGTATGTGGTACAGCATCTTCAAGTGATTCTATATATCACATACAGCTTGGACTTGTTACACCCATATATAGAAATATTCTCTCTTTTAGAAGTGAAATTATTTTCACATGTCTACTTTGATAATGATTTTCGGAAATGTCAGTTTTCTCCAATCATCACATTGATGGCTCTAACTTGAACATGCTTACATTTGCAGGACTGTGGTGGTAATTCTCGTTGTGGAATGGGTTGTAGTGCGCTTGTGGCTAACATTATTGGAGGTGAATATTCCTGAACTTATGGATATCTAGGATTCCTTTTCCACTTTCTTAACAACATTTACATCATTACATGTTTTTCCTTTTACCTCCCCTCTGAAAGTGTCCTTTCGAGTTATGGTAGAAGACTCGTAGGTCAAGATATGTAAAATTCATTAATGGTTTCTTAGGCTTTACCCTTATTAAAAAAGAAGAGGAAATCTTTCCTTGAAATTTGATTTACTCCAAATCCAATGGATTAAGCAAGATGAATATGTAAGAAAAAAATAATTATGTGACGAATTGTCTCGTCCATATGTCTATCTTGTTCCAACTATATTGGGAACTAGTAACTACGGGGGTTGTGTCTGATGTTACAATTGAATGTTCGATTGCAAAAGCATTTAACAAATTTTGAAGAAATAAGAGAGGATGAGATATAAACATTTTGGATCTCTGTTCATCTATGCATGATAACAACTTTAGCTACACTCGTAGATTTAGGTCGGCAAAGGTAAATGATGCCATAAAAATACCAGGATTAGAAAGGCCTGTTGTCTGGATGGTATCTCTAAAGGTTTAGAAGTGTCTTGGAGAGGTTGGAGTGGGATGGCTAATCTCTGGATGGTATCTCTAAAGGTTTAGAAGTGTCTTGGAGAGGTTGGAGTGGGATGGCTAATCTCTGGATGGTATCTCTAAAGGTTTGGAAGTGTCTTGGAGAGGTTGGAGTGGGATGGCTAATCAAGCTATGTAATGCTATTCTAAGAAGTGGTAGGATGCTGAGCGAGTGAAGAGAGAGTACTCTGGTTCCAATTTATAAGAACTAAACAGATATTCAAAGTTGCGCGAACAATGGTGGCTATAATCTTTACAGAAGTGTATCTTGAGCACACAAACTCTTCCAAAAGTCTAGCTAATTGTACACAAGTTGATTCTTTATTCTCTTTACCTTAATGGGTTTAGTATGGTTAGTGCAGGTTATCCCGTGTGCACTACTCTTGGATATTCATCAAGCACGTTCTTTGAACTCATTGGTAAGAATTCCTCAATTACTTAATTCAGATTAAAGGGGAGGAGTTTTTATCTATTGCTTCTGAAGAATAACTCCTTGCTCTTCGTGGTGTTGTTGAGTACACAATCAATATTTATTATGAATTCGTAGCATCTTTTCCTGCAGATATAATCTGCAATCACTACCGGAGTCAACTTTACTAGATTAAATTTGGAAACGTTTATTCTTTTTCTTGCATTTATTAACATGGCAGATAAAAAGGATCCACTCAAAGGCATCACAGCTAAAATGTCTTACAGAGGGCCGAAGCTCAACTGTTCACTTGCTGTGTCAATAGTATGTGATACAAATGGAGTTCAAGTAAGGGTTTGATTCCTTTGTATATGGGCTCTACTTTTCTCCAGTGTCATTTCATTGGGATTCGGCCATTGATTTTCCTTTCCTTTCCTTTGCCAGGGTCCTCGGACACTTGAATTAGTTGGGACTTGTGCTTATGTAAGTACTCTGAATGTCCATGTTTCAATCTCATTATGGAGTATTTTGTGTCACTCATAAGAGTACGTGATGGCATTATTCTATGAAAAGAATCTTGGTTAATGAAATACATTATGGCTTTTTTATCAACTGGCAATGAGGTAAAAGGACCTGGTATGCATAGCCATATTTTGATAATTTCTTCTAGTCTAGCAACAACAACAACAATAAAACTGCTAATGTGAATGGGGATGCAAGTAGTCTTGGAGATGGGAGGCGCCTAGATGGGAACGTTGAAATGAGATTGAGTTTCTGTGGGGAGAATAGTTTCATAATAACGTGCTAGATAAAATGAAAGAATCCCTCGGCAGGGCATTGATCATAGAAGCTTAATTTATGGGAGCACTTGTCTTTGGGATTGAGTACTAGTCCTAGGTACCAAGTTAGTGGTTGCTAGTTTGTTCTTAAGTGCCAGCTTGGGGCATGCTGCTGTTCTAGGCTTGGTGTTATGCTGGAGTGTTCGTCAGAGTGCTTGTCTTGTATGTATTTTTTGGTGCAAGGTTAGTTTGGAGGATTAGAGCTCAGCTGACCTTGTTGAGTGCATTGCATGCTCAAATTTCTTTCTAAGTTTGCATACATATGAGAACTAACAATCTGGTGCATTCTTCAATCGCCTCTTCATTTCTCATCCTCTTAACTTTCTCAAGAACTTTGGTCTTGTGGATAGTTTCAGTGAGGAGTTCATGCTGTATTTTTTGCTGACAGGCTACAGAAATACATCACCCCTCCGGCTGCGCAGTGATTATATCCTCTCACGGGCAAGGAATGGGCTGGTTTGGTACCATGATGATCATGTAAGATTAATGGTTAAAAACATAGACTAGGTAATGGAGTTGCCTGCTCACTGATTTATTGATTGATACACACTGCACAGAATCCTATGCCTCTTTGGAATTTACTTGCTGGGTGGTGCAGCCTATCGGTACTTCTCTTTGGGCATTCGTGGGATAGACGTATGTTGCTTCTCCTTCTCTCTTCCCTCTATCTTCTGTCTTCATTTTCAGTTTATCAGAATAGGTGCATGAAAGTTCTTATCCAGATTGCTTGGCGATGATGTATTTATTTAACTGTTGCTGGCCTCTTTGCTGCCCTATCCTCCTCCTTTTTCCCTTTGCTTCCAAACTATAATTCTACTCTCTTTTGTAAATGATTGGCTCAAGATAACTAAGTTGGAACAAAATAGATACACAGATGTGATATGCAAAGCAAGCAGCTAAAACAGGTAGTGGAGTCAGATTTTTTTTACTTAAAAAATGAGATATGACAACATAAAAGGGTCATATCTAATAGCAAGGTGGTTATGCGGAGGGGAAAAAGAATTTATGTAATAGGAGACAAGTCAAATTCTGACTGAAAACATCACCGGTAGTCCTAAAGAATCATTAGTATTCCCATTTCCCCGGGAAATACGCAGTAGTCTTTGGACAGGTTGTCATCATATGCCTTTACTAGTTTTTCTAGAGTCAGCTATAGGTCTTTTAGGCTGCATCGCTAGCCTTTTTCTTTCCCCTTTTATATTGAGCGCTGGTCATGTTGTTAAGAGATTCTTTCTCTTGGATATTTCACAATTAGTTGCTACTTTTCAAGATGACTTTGTGCTCGGAAGGAAAACTTATTTACTATTGTCTGTTATATTCAATAGTATTGTTAAGTCCCACATCGGTGGGTGTGGGAGGCCATTTGTCTCCTTATACGGCCTTGGACAATCTTCACCTTATGAACTAGATTTTGGGGTTGAGTTAGGCCCAAGGTTCATATATCATGGTATCAGAGCCAGACCTGTGGTCGATGTGGACCCCTAGAAGATGGGGGCAGAATGCCCCCAGACCAATTGAAGAGGGGCGTGGAAATACCCCCGGTCCATGATTGTGCACGCTCCAGACCGGACAGTGGAACCCCGGATAAAGAATGTCCGGATCTGGGCGTGAGGCGGGGTGATGGATGGAATAAATCCCACATTGGACCGGGATGATATCCCTGGTCTCCTTATAAGGCTTGGGCAATTTTTCTCCCTTCAAGCTAGCTTTTGGGATTGAGTTGGGCCCAAGGTCCATTTATCAAGTATACATATTTGTAAGGGTCTTAAGAGCCATTTCTCTATTGGTTTGACCCGGTTCTCTTGGTGAGCATATCCCGGCACAAGTACATCAGGATAATTGCTATATGTTCATTTCTACTTTGTTACCTTGTTTTGGTACAAGAGATTAGGATATGATTTTGGTGATCCCTCCGTTCCTGCTTTTGCTATGATCCGTTTTTGACAGTTGCAAAGTTCCAATATCCTCAAATTCCACTTGTATGTACTCCATTCTTTGATTTCATCTCCTTTGGAAACTACAATATGGTGTCTTCCAGTTTTGAAGTCATTACATTCTCCTTCAATTCTTATTTGTACAAAGATATCACGACCTGACTTGGTGATTTACGTGGACCCCATATATAAACCTCAACGAACCTGTTGAGCAACAAAGCAAAAGGATGAGAATAGTGGGTTCCATTGATTTTATGGTGACAGTTTTTACTAATAATATTTCTTGATAAGCAAGACAAGACTTATAAGTATAGTATAATTACAGATTTGGTTCTCGGGGTGTGCAGATATTGATGTGTTGTGGTTGTAGATGGGGATGCAATTGGTGGTGGTTGACAGTGAAAAAAGGTGCTGCAAAGGAGGATAATTGTGAACTTTGAGATGAAAACATATTGCAGAGGAATAATAACACTAATTTGATTGAATAGTGAGGAAAATACTGTGACCTTAGATTTGTGTTGGAGGCAAACTAATCAAATTGGGATGAGTATGATTTGGGTTTGTTGCTCCCGAACTAACCAGTACTTCCCAAATTTTATCATTGTCTTTGCCATTTATCATGGAAGTGGATGTGATTACAATCAATTGCAAATTGCAGTCGAGACGTGATGCTATAATAAGTGCGATGAATGCATTCAAGATTCCACTCTATATCTGCATATAGAAAGTTCACCACACTAAGGTATCATAAAATGACTCATTTCTAGAAGAGGGAGTGTAGTTTTTTGTCACTTCTGTGTGTGTAAGCTTGCAGTTTTGCTCGAATTGTAGTTTGCTGCACCAGAGTGCATGTCATTGGTGAAAGTTACAAATCTTACTTCTAAAAGATTCCTCAGTTCAGGCCATAGCGCCTTCTACTTCTAATAGGCTGTGAACTTGATCTTAATCAGTCTCAACAAGGTTATAAGCTGAGCCCAACTTAATGAATTTCAGTCAAAGTGGAAGAAAATATTAATTCTTTTATTGTAAACTGGTAACCATTTTACTCAGAATATAGAAGAGGGTTGTTTGGAAAATTTGGCTACCTCAGGTGGAACTGTAGTAACCATAGTCTAAGTGTAATCCAATGTTTGAAGATGCTTTGGTGGCTTACAATTATTCCGGAAAACAAACACTTTTTTCCACTGAGTGCAGCACAGTTATTTAGAATTCGTGCCGACTTTGCTTGTGTTTGACATTGTATTTGTGCAGTGCTGTAATCTGACATCTTCCTTCTCCTAAACTTATGCAGATAATTCCAAACTTGGAATTCTGGGCGAGCTTGCCACATACGTTACAGGTATTGAATAATGCTTATGTTTTATATTAAAGCGAGGTAGTTTGATCTGGTGAAAATTCCTTATTGCTAGGATTAAGGGTGGAGTGTTTTACAGAATTAATTTTGCTTGTCCAAACGTCTCTCGTGACAAACTTCTTTCCAGGAGAGGTTGGGGGTAGGCTAGGAGCAATCACAGTCGTGGTAATTTAATAAGAGAAAAAGGATGTAGTGGAGGAGCTTTGGTTTTAATTTTTTTTATAGCACCTAGCGCCTAGTGGTGTCACCACAAATGTGATGTGTTAGCCATGAAATCAATTATAGCACCTAGTGGTGTCTGAGTTCTAAGGACATTAGTTGGCATTAATTGGGTGGTTGTTGACTCTAGCAATGAGTTCTCTACCCCGTGAATGGACAACCCTGCTGGATTTATGTGTAGTATTCTAAACTCTTTCCTCCTTGCTGCTAATTTCCATACAAGCTGAAGTTTATGGCTAATGTGAGTTCACAAATAGTGTCTTAGTTGAATTGTGGATTCATGGACCTGCTGAAAAACTACGTCATAGTCCTCCGCTTTACCACAATAACTTAAAAAAGAAGAAAAGATTGAGAGTAGCCTTCTTTTAATGGTGTGCACATTTGTTTTTTAATCTGAGGATGTGTTCTTTGCTGGTTGAACGTTGGGACTTATTATCACATTTATGTTCTCTTTTTGCAGAGTATGTTTTTATCGTTAGTGCGGAGATTTAGAGGACCTTCTCATGGTCACAGGAGTACGTATTCTCCTGTCAATTTTTGAGCAATTACATGTTAACTACTAAAATGATCGGACAAATCAATTTTTGACATGGATCGACAATTGACACTTTCAAGTTGTTACTTCAAGAAAATCAGATCCTCGTGCTCCTCTCCTGTAAGACTAAAATTGGACATCTTACAACTGGGCACTTTCTCATGGATGTCACTTCAATTGTTTGTAATTTCTTTGACTAGTCTGTCATTTTTGTGCTAGTGTCTTTCTTCTTCTTTTTCCTTTCCCAGTGTCATTTTGTTCTAGTTAACAGCATTCTTTCTAGGCTGTTGGTGCTTCTATGATGAATAGGATTTGGATCTGAACTTCATTGTGCCCATAATTTTCTTAGACAGAAGGGATTTCACCAATTTGTCGCAATTCCATCGTGTTACTGTGGTGCTAATACAATAAAAAAGGGCAGCCCGATGCACTAAACTACCGCTATGCTCGGGGTCCCGGGAAGGCATGGACCACAAGGGTCTATTGTACGCAACCTTACCGTGCATTTCTGCAAGAGGCTGTTTCCACGGCTTGAACCTGTGACCTCCTGGTTACATGACAATAACTTTACTAATTATGCCAAAGCTCCCCTTCGGTGCTAATACAATAGTACTTCTTTTTATTATACGAGGCTGTTATATTAGAGAAAACTTTTGTGGAACAACCATTACTTTTTTTGCAAAAAAGCAGGCGGATTATGACGGAAAAAGCTCTTTAAAAAATCTTTTAGCCGTTATTCGGTATGTGTTGGTGGGAGGTAGCAAGTACTCTGAGGAATTAGATGTTAGTGCAAGCTGGCTCGGACACTACGAACATGAAAAAGAGGAATCTATTAGCCAACAATTAGGATAGATAATGGTGGTGAAAGTGAAATAATCATGATTTTTTTTCTTATTCATATATTTAAAGAAGCTCCTAAATCTTGGTATGTCACCTGCTCCATGGGAGATTGGCTTAGGTGGGGGTGGGTATAAAAAAATGTCAACTAAAATGAAGTTGAAATGTTACCTAAATCTCAAATCACTCTCCAACTTTACCCTTTAAACAAGTAATGGTTGGTACTGACTTTACCTAATTTCTTATGCATTCCATGTCCATGCTCAAAGGAGTTTTAATTTCTATACACTATGATTAAATACAATTCAAGTAACTATTCATATGTAATAAGTGGAACTAGTCATTTCCAGAAAATAAACAGACTATATAAATTATGCTGATATAGTGTGAAATTTTTTTATACTATAAATTAAACCGCGAAAAATATACAAAAAGCAGAAAAATTATATCCTATCATTCACAACTACCCTTAACTTAGAAGCCAAGTGAGATATTACTTCACCACAAACATCGAGCTGTAAATTAAATAAAGCTTGCTAGACTTTTGACCATCATTTTAAGTTAATCAAATCAGGAAAGCTATTGGCATTGTTTTGTTTCAAAGAAACACACATAATTAAACTGTTAAATTAAACACCTATCAATTTGACCCCAACCACTGGTTTTCTTGCATACAAGAAATATGACCAAAACATCTATTATGGGGAACCTTTCTATTATTGGTTATTTTCTTCAAACTTAATGTAAACAATAATGATAAGAATTCAATAAAGACAATAGCAACAAATATCCAAATTAATTAACTATGCAATTAGCAGGAAATAAAAAATAATTTCCTTCAACTCTGTCTACACTTAACCTATAGTTTTCCCGTATTTATTCAACCCCACTGAACACTGAGTAGATGACTTTCACTACCTAACTAGTAGCTAAGAACAATAACAAAACAGAAGGAAAAAAAAAAAAAGGTAGCTACCATATGCTTCAAAAAAATGAAGCCACCTCCATCTTCTTCTCCTTTTTCCTCTTCTTTTCTGAGAAAAGCTCGTCTTTCTCCCTTTCTTTTAATATTTCTACCCTTCATTGTTCTTATCATTATTCTGTATAGTGAAGAATTCAACTGCATTTTTAGCCAGCTTGACCCCAGAGTTTCCAGCCAACAACACAATTCTATCACAAGAAATATTAGTGAGTAATACTAATGAACTTGCACTTTTTTCTTTCTGTTTTATTTATTTATTTTTGGGAAGAATTATCATGCATGTTTGTCCAAGAGAAAAAAACATGTTTGTCTTCTTGCTGTTTTTGTTTGGTTGCTCCAAACATGAAAATATAACAAACCAATCAAAACATAAAATACATTCTCTCACACTAAATTTCAAAATTAATGTTCTTTCGTGGTAGAGTCGAGTCCAGGATCTAGAGTCAGGGAGTTCATAAATGAGCATGATCATATTATATATCTATCCAAAGTTCGAGTTGAAAGCACATGGTTCAATTGAACCCAATGCACATCCATCCTAAATTTGCCTCCGTTTGCGGATATCCGATAACAAGAATTAATTTCATTCATGCTTGCATCATCGTAGGCTGCCTACATCATATTCCTTTAGGGTGCGGCCCTTCTTTGGATCCTGTGTGAACGCGGGATGATTCGTGCACCGAACGGACTTTTTTTTAACTATCTTAAAACTACATTCGAACACTGACAAAATAACAAAATAAAATTAGCTTTTTTTTTTCTCAGACTAAACATACATCAGTTATTTAATTTGCATGAATGAAGTAGGAGTGAAATTGACTGTATTTTTGAATTGTGTTGGTAGAGAAGAACAAACAAAAGTTACCATTTGCAATAGGAGAGACAGAGGAAGGATGCGATGTGTTCAATGGGAAATGGGTTTGGGACGAGAGTCGGCCTTTGTACGAAGAATCAGAGTGTCCGTACATACAACCACAGTTGACTTGCCAAGAACATGGCCGGCCAGATAAAAACTATCAACATTGGAGATGGCAACCTCACGGTTGCTCACTTCCGAGGTAACATTCTTTTATACTGTCAGTATATAAAAGTTAAACTTTTATGTACGACTGATCACTAATATATTATAAGTCTATTAGAATAAGATGTCAACTTTGATAACAAATACAAACTCACACCACCCTTTCCAAACTAACATTTGTTCCATAAACACATGATCGAGTAATCCAACCCGTAGGATTTTCTTTTCCTCTATCCGTTCTTATTTCTGTATTTTAATATTGCTACATGTAATATCCAATTAACATATTTAATTTTCAATTAAGACGCTTTTGCTAACTTGAAATGGCAGTTTCAATGCAACATTAATACTAGAAACTCTTCGGGGGAAGAAGATGTTGTTCGTGGGCGATTCCTTGAATAGAGGACAGTTTGTTTCTTTGGTTTGTCTTGTCCATAGACTCATACCCGAGAATGCTAAATCCATGGAAACTGTTGGTAATTTCGACATTTTCACCATTAAGGTGATCATCTCTAGCAATTTTTGAGCTTACACATTACAAATTCTATTAATTTGTACATTGATATAATACACAAATGTAAGTTGGTTTGAATTTGAATTTCCAGGATTATAATGCAACTATAGAATTCTACTGGGCACCATTTTTGCTGGAATCAAATTCTGATGATGCAGTCAAACATAGGATCGAGGAAAGAGTTGTTCGAAAAGGTTCAATAAACGCACATGGAAAATATTGGAAAGGGGCTGACATAATTGTGTTCAATACATATCTTTGGTGGATGAGGGGCCTCCATTTTAATATTTTGTAATTTCCTTTCCTCTTTCTTGTTTTTCATTTATAAGTTTTAACTTTTATATACTAACAATGCGTAATAATATTTACACTGTGATCAGGTCACCTAAAAGATAACTACAAGTTACTGTCCATGACATACTACGTACTAACATATATGAAATGAAAATTGATACAGGCAAGGGTCATTCGACGATGAAGTGAAAGATATAGTGGAAGTTTCCACAGAGGAGGCATATCGAATGGCAATGAAGAGTATGTTAAAATGGATTAAAAAGAATATGGATCCAACGAAAACCAGAGTCTTTTTCACTAGCATGTCACCTTCTCATGAAAAGTGAGTAAAAAATTAACCTTTCCAAATTCTATGCTTTTTAATGTGTTTAAATAACATTTGATAATTTAGGTGTCTATTCTTTGTTTGGCAGGAGCATAGAATGGGGAGGAGAACCAAAAAAGAACTGTTACAACGAGACTAAAATGATAGAGGATCCAAATTACTGGGGAACAGATAGTAGAAAAAGCATAATGCAAGTGATTGGAAAAGAATTTAGTAAATCAAAAGTGGCCATCTTATTTCTCAATATCACACAACTCTCAAGTTACAGAAAAGACGCGCATACAACAATTTACAAGAAACAATGGAGTCCATTAACACCAGAACAACTAGCAAATCCGTTTAGCTACGCTGATTGTGTTCATTGGTGTTTGCCTGGACTTCAAGATACTTGGAATGAACTTTTATTCACCAAACTTTTCTATCCTTGAGATTTTATGGATGATTTTAGGCTCTCGTATTATATAATGTTTTCAATTATCCTCTTTGATAGTCGGATAGAGTAAGAAAATAACTAAAGGGAAACGAGTAGTTGCAATAAGGAAGGGGTATAGAGTTTATTGCACAAAGAAAGAATTTGTGTCAATATTTTTTCCCAGAATTGTGTCAAATCTGTTTTTGCCCAGAATAGGGACAAGAAACTGTACACCTTTTTTTTTTCTTTTTAGGCAGAATAGCCCAAATAACACTTATACTTGAGCCACTTTGTCATGCCGATCCCCAAACTTAACAATTTGCCAATTGAACACTTACACTCCTTCAAATCGTGTATAATAAACGCTTATGACACGAGGCTGATCCTATGTGTCATATTTGGCTTTAGTGCGTGATTCACTCGCCTATAAGGGGCGTGAGGGCAGTTAAAATGTGGCGGGCGTGAGGGCAGTTAAAATGTGGCCTATTTAACAGTAATCTTCTTCTTTCTACCTTATTCTCCATTGTTGAACATTATAGAAGAAGCTAATTTCTATCCAAATCTGTTGCCTTCTTCTTTCTCGTGGTAGCTTCAACAATGAAAAATATAATTTTTTTTGTTGGGATTCTTCATTGCCCATCAATTTGTGCCATCTCCTTTTCTTTTTAAAGTCGATTTTTGTTTTCTTCTCCGGCAAGAAATAAGCTATGGTCAAAATTGAATTTCTGTTTTAGTTTTCGAGAGTCTGAATTGGTGATCTATATTTTTCGGAGTCGATTCGGCATTGAAATTGCAGAAATTAGGACTATCGCCTCCCACGTTTCTGCTTTTTAGTACCACGTCCTTGGCTGCATCGCAGAATTTGCAGTCCCTGTTTTCTACCTCTCAGCACACCACTCTGCTTACAAAACTCCACTCAATTCTTTTGTTTTGTTCCCTCAAGGTTTAATTTCATGGCTAAACTATGTTACCTTCACATTCTCTTTTCCTTTA